TCTTTAAAAAAGGAGAAAGGTGGTCCATCGGTATAGAAGCAAAAAGACATTAATAATGCAGAAAAAGCACCTAGGAAATATATACTACCTGATGACAAACAAATATGCTGGGTCAGAATTCAAATCAAACGAGAGTCTATTTTTGAGAAAAGTGAGATCTCCCAATACTCATTTAGTCTGAACATGAAGATGCTTAAACAGATGCCATCAAATCTCAGTCTGTTTTTGTCTGAATATCAAAATACACCTTGGGGTGTCTCAGCTGTAATTCATGAGTTGCCACAAAAGCAGGGCAACATTCTGTTTACGCAAATTCTGTTTTGAATAACATTCATGTTGTTGCAAGAATAGGATCATCAATATATGACACAAACAGAAAATTTAATGTTTATAATTCTTCTCCTTTCATAACTCCTTGAATGCCTAGAAGCGTTAGGACAGGAAGAGATCTCTAGGACGGACCCTTCTGTCCACTTCGAATAAAGTACTTTTTAGTGTCTCTGATATTTCTGCGGTCCATATTCTGTGTTGTCGACCTCTGGCTCTGTTAACGCTGTATCTGTATAATACTGCTCCCTGTGGTGCCCTGTTTGACACTATTCTTGTTACATGGCCAAACCATTTTATTTGTGTAAAATTTTTACCTTTTAAATTACTGAAAGCTTTAGTGTTCAGTTGGCTGTGTGTTGAGCTACAACTCTTTCGGTACTAAGCAAAATGTCAGACATTGTTTATTGTAACTTATACACTGTTATATGGGTTTGCAGATTCCAGGGCCCTATTGTGGGGAAAACAAGAATAGACCGACTAACTACCCAAAAGAATCTTGTAAGAGTCAACTAATTGGGAGCTTTCTTCAAAGTCGGAGTGCATCTGTCTGAGAGGCAAGGAACCAGCAGTCTGCATACAAATGAGTCAGATCTGTAAAAGGAATGCACACGCAACATTTAGGTTCTGAAACAGGACTGCAGCCCGGAAGTGGATGAACAACCAGAACTTTCTGCCAGAGTTTACAGCTGGTGAATGCGAAGAAGAAGAAGAAATTTTTGTTTCCTGACAAGCATGTCATAAAAGATGAATAATCAGGAGTTTGCTGAAATCAGATGTGTGAGGCTGGAAGGTGCAGACACCCCACAGCCTATCTGTAAACCTTAATGCAATGTGCCAACCACCCTTTTTTGGTGAACACAGAAGGTTAATTAGGAAACACAATTCTTTTCTAAATCAAAGCAATGGTTCCCTGCTGTAAAGTTGAATAAATAGGACACAAACAATGGATTGCACAATTTATTGCCTGATATTGGAAATGAGGTGTCTGAGAAAAAAGTCGGCACAGAACCAATTCTAAATTACATATAAAGGCAGCAAATAAAATGGTTTGCCCACCTGGAGAGAATGCCTTCTGATGCTATACTATTCAAGGCACATACCAAAAAAGGAGAGGGACATAGAGCAAGAAGTAGACAAAGAACATATTGAAGGATAACATCAGAGAAACACTACAGTACCACGATATGTCTTGGGTCGAAGCAGCCAGAAAAGCATGAAGCAGGATCTTAAAGAAGAAGATTGCCCGATATATTTTGCAACCGCAGAATGGCATGCTATTTGGAAGCCATGGCAATAAACTGGTTCAGTCATTAGGTCACTTAACATGTTTGGACTCAAATATCTGTGCAATGATGTCACGTCTTAATTGACTCTCGCCCTATGGATTCCTAGCCCCATTTGGGGGGGGGGGGGGGGAGTAGTTGGGTTTGCCTCTGTTCCTAAACAAGCATGTCATATATGGCTACTAATTATGGGTTTTCAGAAATTTGATGTGTTTGGCCAAAAGGCACAGCTATCATAGCTTAAATATAAATTACAACACAACATTTCAAACACCCCTTTCAGGGAAAACAAAAAGAACAAAATCTGTAAAGTAAATCTGACTTGTAAATGACAATTAAACAAGCAAAATTAAAAAAAAATAAAAAACTCTGATTGTGTGTGCATGTGTGGTGACTGTGAGAGGTCACAGTGTGAGTGCAAATAGTGTGAGTGTGAATGAGTGTGAGAGGGTATAATAAAACAGGAACATTAATTCTGCTTGGAACTGACACTCACAGCTTCGCTCCCTTGACACCATCTCTTATATTCAATTTTCTGAAAGCAATATCAAGGTAGCTCAACCCCAACAGATTAATGAAATAAATATTCTTCGTTTTGAGACGCTTGTTAACCAGCAGTCTGGCAAGTTCTAAAAAAGATCCTTTTAAAACCAAAATTGCCTTCTTCTTTCAGGGGCTTTATTTTTATCTTAACCCAAAAAGGGGAAATCCACAGGCCACAGGACAGTCTAATAGTTCAGGGGGTGGTAGATATGCTGCATGCAGTTGTGAGACCTAGGCTGCATGTTGTCGTGGCACCTAGGCTGCATTCTCTTGTGGGACATAGGTGGGCTGGGGTTAGGGCCGGTTCTAGATGTTTTGGGGTTGTCAAAAAAATCAGAAAGTCGGGAAACCCAGTCTTACCACCCTCTAAAATGTTGGACTGTCCTGTGACATCATCTGGGGCAGGATATTAATAAAGCACCTTCTTTTGTAGTGATTATGTTGTAAAGCTTCACAGAGAGAGGAGTTATTTGTAGTTTCCTGTCTCTTGCTGGTTGAGTAGACTGTGTTAATGTGATACTGCATTTTTGTACGTGTCCTTTTTGACTATCTTCTACCCATCTCTTTCTTGGCCGACCTCTTGCCCTGTAGCCCACTGTTCTCATGTATGTGCTCGAGATGCTGCCTGATTTTATCCAACTGAGCAGATGACAAAATCTGTGATTCTTTGAGTTCTATGAAATCATTTAACATTAGTGAGCCCATCAATGTTTTTAGTTCTTCAGTAGAGACGCTCTCTCTTCTTGTTTGTCCTTCATGACTTATACATCTCATCTGACATGTAATTTTGTTTTTATGTGTTTTTTTTTAGGCAATGGCAACACAAAGTTGGTACAAATAGCACATGCATTTGCTGTTTTTGTGTGTGACACAATTATATCTTTTTCCTCTTCTTCTTCTTTTCCACCATTTACCTCAGGGAGGTGTTCGGGAGAGGTGTAAGAATCATTTGTGTGATTTTTCTAATGCTTTGTACAAGCTGGTGTTCATTTATGTTAGGTTGCTCCTGAGGGTGTCGCTCCATCTCTTGCATGGTCTTCCCTTGCTCTGTGTTCATCATATTTCTTTAGTGTGGCTTTCTGTGGCAGTTGGTACCAGGGCATTCTCGTCAGGTGGCCAAACCATCTCACTTACTGTTCTTTAAAAAATTGTATAACTGGTTATAGTCCTGGTCTTCTTCTAATTTCTTCATTCTTGATTTACATATTTATATCTGGACGTAATTATAACAAACATAAAGTTCTACTTACTTCAACCCCTGCCCTACATCCCTCAACACCTCCTTGGCCTGCTTGTGCCCCGTGTACCCATGTGTCTCCACTTCTGCCAGCCGGTGTTGATAGTTCTCTAGCTTCCTCTGAAGCTGGTTGATATTCTGTGCTGACTTCTGGTTCTTTTTCTCAAAGAGTGCCTTGATTCGAGCGGTTGGCTGCTTCTCTGTGGCCATCTGAAGGTATTCGTTAACAATAGCTGCAAATACAAGAATACGAGTCAATCACATCTCTATCTCATATGGGTGTGTGTGTGTGTGTGCGCACGTGCACGTGTGTGTGTGTGTGTTTGTGCGCACTTGCCATCTGTGTAGTTTTATATAATATATGTATGCATTTGCAGTCAGTGTCTGTGGCCTAGACATTGTGAATTTTGTTTGTAATTACAAGGTGTGGCATTCGATCCCAGCTGTGGGAGTATGGTAGTAGAAGAAGTGGCAGTGGTAGTAGTAGTAGCTGCAGCAGCAGTAGTAGTAGCAGAAAGCTGACCATCCAGAAAGCAATGGCAAACTACTGGATGTAAATTTGCCTAGAAAAACCACACAACAGCCGGGGGCCGTTGGGGTTGGTTCTGCAACGTCCTGTAAAGGATGTGCAACTAACCTAGTTAAAAAAAAAAATTTAATCAAAAAACAAAATTAATTACATTTTTTTTAAAAATCAATCAACTCTCATTGCACCTAGAGGCATATAAGGCAGAGACAAACTGTCACCACTCAATGCTATTCTGAGACATCCTCTCTATCTCCAGTGTTGTCCTTAGCTTAGCCTTGAGTTCAGCCTCAATGGTTCGCCTCCAAGTGCCTCTGGGCCTGCCTCTTTCTCGCTGTCCTTGTGGTGTCTGTCCATTGCATGGCCTGTCTCGGCATCTCTTTTTCTTAATTCTGAGAATGTGTCCAATCCACCTGAATTTTAGTGTTTTTTTTTTTTTTTTTTTAATTTTTAAATTTACATCTTCTAAGTCTGTAATTCGTTGTAATCTAAAATTGCTAATTCTAACTTCCCATGCGAATCCCAACAATCTTCTGAGAAGCCTTCCCTCATAACCTCTGAACGCGCTCTCTTTCTTTCTGTCTCCAAAGTTTATGCTCCATAGAGGAGAACTTGTCCTATTCTTTATGACACCAGGCACCACAAGGTAAATGTTGAATGCTGAATTAAGAATCGACAAAATAGCGCCCGGGACACCCCCATAATCGCTCCATCCCCATCTTCTGCAGCAAGCGAACAGTTAAAATTCTGATGGTACCAGTAACTGTCTGATTGTCAATCCGTCTCGCCTTTCCCCTGAGTGTCGAGCGTCATCAAGATCCCCTTGTAACTCCTCGCAGTGCCATTCTCCTCAGGCTAAAGATGGTAATGACTATAATGATCTATCTGTGCTGTTCACTCCCTCCAAAAGGGCCCTCACAACATCCAGCTTGTCATACATCAGTTCACCACAAAGTGGTGCAGAACCGGCCAGTCTGTCCGCCTGCTCATTTCCCAACACACCGGCATAACCCTGGAGAAAATATCAAAGGATGCTAACTACCGTGATTTTGTAAAACAAACATCTATTTGAAATACAAACCTTCCTTTGTGTTCTGCTCCTTCTTGATGGCCTCTTTAGTTTTCTGTATCTTTCCCTGTAAGGTTTCTATAATCTGTTTGGTCCTGGTGCTGCCCTCACCACTGTCCACATCGTCTGTGCCAGTGTCGCTTCCATTGTCCAG